TCCTTCTGCTAATTGGTGGGAGCGTGAAATATGGGATTTATTTGGAGTATTCTTTTCTAATCATCCAGATTTACGTAGAATTCTTACAGATTATGGTTTTGAAGGACATCCTCTCAGGAAAGATTTTCCTTTAAGTGGTTATCTTGAATTACGTTATGATGAAGATCAAAGAGTTGTTGTTTGTGAGCCTATTGAATTAAGTCAAGAATTTCGTTCATTTAATTTTCATATCCCCTGGTCACAAAATAATATATCTCGTTAATGTCAAGGTTAAATTTAAACTCTATACTTAGTTGGGTAGATTCTCATATTATTGATTACCCTACAGCTATGAATTTAAATTATAATTGGAATTTTGGATCATCGCCTGGTTTTTGTCTCGTTATTCAAATATTAAGTGGAGCTTTTTTAGCGATGCATTATGCAGGCGCTTCGACTGGATGAAGAAATTGGGTGCATGCAGTCGTCGGCGTTACTCGGAGGGACATCATGCCACTTCTCAAGGGAATGCGCAGGCCTGATCCCTCGGACACCATCTTCGCCGCATACGAGAGAGCAAACGAAGACCTCTACGCAATCCTATTCTGCCACGTCGAACTGCCGGCTGCACTAACCGCACACAAGCACGAAGACGACACCGGCCTTAGCGGCGACGGGCAGGCAGCATTCGCGGACCTGAAGGCCAACTACAATCGAGTGACAGATGAAGTGATCAGGGCTAAACTGGGCGACCTGGAAAGGACGGTCATGAAGCCAGGAGAGAACCCGGACGATTTCTTCAACAAGAAACACCGCCCCCGCTCTCAACTAGAGGAAATGGGGGAAACCATGTCCGGTCGCCGCTTCAAGGACATATGTGTGCAAGGTTTCTCCGAGGACTACAAGGACATCAAGATGATGGTTTTCCGCGACCCATCATTCGACGTACAACAGATGCAAGCCACCATGCGCAACATCTTCCTTGACGAGCAAATGCGCAAGAGAACCAAGGGCCAAATCGCTGGCCGCGGATTCGCCATGGCTACCAAGACATCTGGCCCCATCTGCTTCGAGTGCAACGAACCGGGACATGTCAGGAGGAGCTGTCCCAATCGCCAGCGGGAGGGCCATAGGGCAAAGAAGACGAAGCCTGCGGGAGCAACCAAGTGGTGCTCCGTCCATAACACCACTACACACTCCGACGAAGAGTGTTACAACCAAGGAGCCAAGCGACCAGAACGCACGGGCAAGGCCTTTTCTGCATGCACACACTGCGTGCACTGCTCAACCCAGTCAAGAGACACACACGCCAAGCCTACCACGAGGGAAATTCCCAAAGAAACAGAGAAGACCGAGAAGGCAGAGATCGACTTCTCTTACGACGAAGATGCATTCAAGGGTGGATTCATGTACCATGCTACATGCAGCAAGGGAAGCGGACGCACTTTCACGACAACTGCAACTGGGACTTCCGCGCTGGTGGATTCTGGAGCTTCTGAGACAATTTTCGACAACCGCCTCATCCCGAATGGACGTCTCGAAGAAGAACGCCCGACGCCCAAGATCATCGACGTTGCAGGAGAAAGCCAACTACGAGGCACTACCACTGGGATCCTACACTGCACCATCAAAGACGACAAAGAACAGCAACTACCCGTCAAACTACAAGGTCTCATCGTGCCAGGACTAGGCCGGAACATCTTCGCACCAACGGCCCCCCTCAAGAAGGGCCTCCGATGTGTCCTGGAAGACAAGACCCCACACCTCACAATCGGCGGAGAAGTGGTCGTTCCTCTGAAACAAGAGGCTCAAGACCAAGGCATGTGCACCCTCGCCATCACATTCAAGGGTGATCCAGCGTCGACAAGCAAGACAACCCCGAACAACCAAGAACCAGGGCGGAAGCCGAAGTTCGGAAAACCAGAAGCGGTACAGATCGATCACACTCCGCACGCGACATGCTCAGTGGCGATGAGCGTGAGCGCCGACCTCTGGCACCGGCCCCTCGGCCACATCAATTCAAGTGCTATGGAGATTTTGCAGCGCAACCCCGCCACAGGTGTGAAATATGACGGACCTGTATCCCCGTGCGACAACTGCCACATCACGAAGCACAAGAAGGCTCCCGTCCCGAAGAATACCAGCCGTGTCCTGACCAAACCAGGCCAACTCGTCCAGTTCGACAACATGGGACCAATCGACCCGCCTGCGAAGTACAACGGACGCACCTACTCCTATGTCGCCAAAGCGACCGACGTCTTTACCAGCATGCGGGAAGTGTACCTACTGCGCGACAGGACCGAAACCACGCAAGCTCTGCACGCCTACAACATGCAAGTAGCATCTGAAGGCTACCGCATCGAGGTTCTACGCTGTGACAAAGGGGGAGAGAACACGGGGGAAGAAATGCGCAACTACTGTAGGGAGTCCGCGATCAAGATGGAATTCGCCGCGACCAACACGCCCCAACAAATCGGAGTGTCAGAAAGGGATGGCCAGACACTTGCGGCTGTGACTCGAGCTCTACTGCGCGATGGAGACTTCCCAAAAC